GTTTCAAGCTAAAAATTAAATTGTTGGGGAACCGTAAGAAGTGTGGACAAGATATGAAATATTTCAACTTTGACATGGTTGTTGATTCAAACAAAATAAATTATGAGGACCTTGTTGAGTCAGTGGTAGAGAAGTACCTGCTTGGTTATTTGGAAGTAGCTCATATTCAATATTATGATGAAGGTCTAAAATCTTTCCCAGAAGTAAAAACCGACCTAGAGTTGATGGTTATGTTTGATAAACATTTGAAGAGAAAGGTTGTCATCATGTTTATTATATATCGAGGTCATTCTAATCCATATGAGCCTGTCACAGAGTGGGATTTTGGTGTGGATACCCAACCTAAGGACAAGATAGACAATGATGATGCAGATGAGAATGATTATCTTAGGAATCCTGAACCATAGAATGAACATGTAGGTGTTGATGAGGAAACTATGTACTGTGATATTGTACTGTGATATTGTAGCACCCAATGCTCTACAGATGATTCATAGCCCTATTCAAAAAGACTCATCCTATGTTGTTGATGATAATGAGGATGATAGTGAAGGTGGAGATGAGTCACAGGATTTGGAAGAGATGCCATGCAATGAGGAAAACTATGCTCCAAATATAGAACATGATCCAGAAGATCCACCAATGGTAGTAGGCTCCACTTATGTTAATATGTATACATTTAAATTGGCAATTTCTCAGCATACAATCAAAAATCAGTTTGAGTTCAATACTGCAAAGAGTGCACCAAATAGGTTCAGGGCATATTGTTCAAGGAGAGACAAAGACAACTGTCTATGGTGGATATTTGCTTCTACCACTAAAGACAACTGCACTGTTATGGTAAGTCTTTGTCTTTGTCCTTACGTTAATTGAGATTGCATATTATATAGAGCTTTATTATTTATCTTTCTAACTAATTGTTTTTCATCTTATAGGTGAAAAGGAACCCTTGTGCTCATGTTTGCTCTAGTACAAGGAGGAAAAAGAGGGTGAAAATGCAACCAAATTTTGGATATGCAAAAAGGTAAAGGACTTCCTCATAGTGGATGCAACTTTGGGTGCAACAGCATGGTGAACAAATTGAAAGAACACCATAAGATAAATATCAACTACAAGAGAGTGTATGATGATAAGGAGCTAGAATTGAAACATTATGGTGACTGGGATTCCAGCTTTGATAATCTATTTAAGTTTAAAGCACAAATTGAGAGTTGTTGTCTTGGTAGCTTAGTCATTATTGACCATCACATGGTGGATGACCATCACATGTCTTTTCCTCTAAGGTTTGATATTTCTTCCTTTTTCACATGATTATTTCGCACTTTTAATGGATTCTAAGTACCAACTAATTTTTCACCGTAGTCAAAACTTGCAAACAACATCTTCTAAACCTCTATAAGGTAATTTATATATTGCTGAAATCTATCTATATCATCACATCTTGCTTTGAAAACTTCATTATTTGACTAGCATGACAGCCACGGTTTGGAGGTTTCAAGTAAGAAAAAGAGAAACCGCACTAACTCCAATTCTAGACGTTCAAAATTGTACGTTTTCTAATTCTGAATTTCAGTTGCATGAATCCATTTTTTCCCTCTTATCTAAACAATTGTCAATATATAACATTTGTAGGTCAAGAAGTGGGTCAAATCAGCCCAAATCACTTTATTGCTTTACGCGAAGATCAACCTGCTCAAGTTAAAAGGAAGCGAACACCCATCAAGAAAAAGCTAAGGTGCCATTTGACAGCCCATCGATGGGTACAAGAAGCAAGGTAGTACTTTATAGCAGCCCTGCCATGAGCACGCGAAATAAAAAAAAAAGCTTAGTCTTTGATTTGTGATATGCCTATTGAATTTGTTAGTTGTATGTGAGACCAATGTATGTTTGAATTCGCACTTTTGTGTGACCTTATTTATGTGAGACCTTATTTATGTGTGACTGAAACTATGGTGGATTTATGTGAGACCTTATTTATGTGAGACTTGGTTAATTGCAATGCATGTGTGAAAATTTTAGAGCACATAATGTATTGTTATGTGTCTATTTTGCTTAATATTACTCCAAATATGTACTATTATGTATATTACATACTCCAAATATGCCCTGATGTTATGTGTGAATTTATTTGCTTAATATTATTTTAAATATACAACAATAAAACAAAACTCTACAAAATTTTTTTTTACGCCAGGGGCAAAACGGTCTTTTTACCCTTGACTTAACACCATCAAATGAAAGAGTGGACGGAAGGCCATAGAAAAATAAAAGTTTATTTCAGAACCATACAAGTAAGTTAAAAAAACCCATACAAAAAAGAGCCATTCTTTTATGGCCATACACATAAAAAGCTCCTACTAGAATAGATTGCCACGCCCTCACGGGTTATAATAGTTTCGTTACAGGCGAGCTCTGGTTGGACCACCGCTATTTTTGTACTATTCGTTATTTTAAAATCAAATGGAACAAACAAAATAGGCGATATCCAGCTCGGCATCCCCTTGTATTGTAAATTATTCGAATGCAAGATTTCGAGTTTGCTTCGATTTTAATCCTTTGAAAAGGTCAGGAATAAAGTAGTAGTAGCAGGGTACGGTTGGTTGCGTATCGTTCGTGTTAATCAAAGGGGCAACGTAACAAGCGAATCCCAAATCTTGAAGCGGCGAAAATGCGCCCGAATAGTAGCCGTGTGCAAGTCGGTCGATGTGCGTCGGCGACTTGAGAAAGGGGAGAGAAAAGAAAAGGTACGGATGATTTTTTATAGGAAAAGGTACGGATGATGAACATTACAAAAGAAGCTGCGGATTTGACGAGGACCAACGCTGGACGGCGGCAAAGTTTTACTTGCAAAAAGCGCGTGAAATACCCTGGAACAAGAGGAACATAAAATATCCTACAGTACCACACAAATTCCACGCTTATTTTAACTTCGTTCACAGCTGCACGAGACGTGTTCCCTGTCCTTTTGATGATCCGACGCCCACTGATTTTCGGTTGAGGAATGAGTATATGACAATAAAAAACGTTGAGGTAGATCCAGCACAAATCAAAATCAGTACTGCACTTATATATTACTACTATGGCTCCGTTCGCTGGTCTAAAACTTAGCTGAAAAATACTGTTCCGGCTGATTTATTGTGAGAGGAAAATACTGTTCAACTAGTTTGGTAAACAGTAACGCGTGAGGAGAAACCAGCCGGCTGGCTGGTCGCTCGGACCAGCGAACGACACCTATAAAAATGATGGCCTCATTTCAAATTTCCATCCACGTAGCAAGCCTGCCAGGCCAAACCCGCTGTCTGCCAAAGCTAGGCCACAGAGTTTTCTCTGCCACAGCGCATCCCGCTGGGTGCCAACTTTCAACGCCTCCCTCCGCAGTCCCCACCCACAAGCGCTTCGAGCCTTGAAGCCAATGTTTTCCATTCCCTCCATATTTAAACGCGCCTGTGCCACGCCACAGCCGCGCGCGGCGCGTACACGCTGACCAGCGGGGCCAGGTAGCCAATGGCGTCTTCGGACCCCCACCTAGCAGTGAGAAACGGTGACTGGGTAGCCGGTACGCGGGAGAAAAACGCCAGTGCCGAGCCGGGGCATGCATAAATGATCACGGCCAATGAATGATGATGTCCGCTTCGGGCTTGTCAAACCAGCCGCACTACAGGTTTATGGTGTTCACACGACACATGTAGCTGCCTGCTACAACTTGCTGCTGCATGGAAGTTGCATGCCACATAGCACAAGCTGACCAGCTCTCAAAGAAGTTAAAAACTTCGAATTCTTCTTAGCGCGTGTTTAGTTGGGACCCCAAATTCCAAAAAAGTGCTACAGTACCCATCACATCGAATCTCACGATACGTGCATGGAGCATTAAATATAGATGAAAAAAAAACTAATTGCACAGTTTGGTTGAAAATTACGAGACGAACGTTTTGAGCCTAATTAGTCCATGATTGAACACTAATTACCAAATAAAAACGAAAGTGCTACAATAGCCCAAATTCCCAAATTCACCCAACTAAACACACCCTACTCTGTCAAAATTGACCAAAACTTTAATAAACTCCGTGGAAGACGTCACCCTCTAAAAATTGACTAAAACAGTCGACCGAATAGAAATTTCAAACTAGGAGCTATGTTTGGCAAGTACGTAGGACCGAATACTCTCTAGAAATTTTAAACTATGAGCCTTGTTTGGAAATTAGGACCGAATACTCACCAGAAATTTCAAACTAGAACCATGTTTGGAAAGTACGTACTCCGTACTACGTACTAGGTAGAAACAATGTTAATGTTTCCAAGCAGGCCGGCCAGGTGCGGGTGAATCTAAGCGCCGCGAACAAATCATCACTTGCAGGCCATGATGATATTTCCTCGTCTCGCCATCGTAATTCATCCTCTGCAGGCGATAAGCTACGCTGAATTCAGCGAAAAGACCGACCCCCAAACGGCACTCGCGAGCGAGTCTGAAAAGCAGGGCGGGAGCAGGGCCAAAGCAAGCAGAGAACATCCTCATTCCGATGACAGCGTCGTAGTAGGAGTAGAAAGCGTCCCGACCGAGGCAAAACCACGCATTCATCTTTCGAAAGAAGCTCAAGATCTGTTCGGCTGGTAAGGCGCTGATTCGTACGGCTAATTTGTTAGGAAAGAAAAACATTGTACCATAACTGATAAGCCGACTTATAATGGTAGCCAAACATAGCACAGAATTGGTATTCGACTCAGCATTGTGTATATCTTTACAAGTTTGATTGACAACCACTAGGAGGACCAGCCATTGTGACCAAGGTCAGAGAACATGCAAGATATGCATGCACCTTACTCAGTGCCAGGGCACTGCGAGCAATTCCGAAACAAGCCTTACGCCTTATTGCTGTTTATGTACTGGCCTGGACTAAAAAATTTAGTAGCCGATAAAAGGAGGGGGGGAGGAAGAATCAAGTTTTCAAAGGGGATTTGAAGGTTACAATCTATGATCCCTGGTGCTCAAAGGAATTGGTGCCTCATCTTGACCAATTCCTGTTGCTATTGGTGTTGCTGTTATTCCTTGGCTTGCCACTAGGCTGGAAATTCCGGTTGTTGTTCCCTTGCTTGGGCAGATTTTGCGGATCCACCATTTGTATGTTTCTCTGCTTCTTTGCTGCAGTGGCGCAAGGTAGAGAAATCGCGATTAAAAGTCAATCGCATAATCGCTTCATCAGTAAAATGATATAGCAACTAGCACAAGAAAGGTGTCCATATCAAACTATACTATAGGCATGGCAGCATGGGCTGGGCAGCATGATTAACGAGTAAGATATCTGTAGCCATAGTAGCATGCATACCGTTATCAAATTCTTGGTAGCCTTCCTGAAGCTTTCTCTTCGTCGCCTCTAGCTTCGCATTCTTTGCGAGTTCTAGCTTTGCTCGGACAGAGTTCGCGTCAAGTTGAGCCACCGGTTTCTATAGATAGATCAAGCGGAATTCAGACCAAACTTTTCGGCAATCAGATCAGTACGTACAAATTTGTCGACAACATGAAATGCTCACCTCAGACACAGCCGACTGCGACCTGCCCTGAGCTGGTGAGGCGTCCTGATGCTGCCTAGGCCTTGCCAGCGGTCTCCCAGGGCCTGACTCCACATTTGAGGGTCTAGCAAGCATCTCCGTGACAAACTGCTCTTTTGTCTGCCCGTTGCTCAGTTCCTGCGGCCGAGACTGCCTCAGCGCAGATTGTTCTTGCCTCCAGTATGGCTCTGGATCATACCGCTGGCCCATTGGCGGAGGCCTTCTAACTGGTTCTTGGTTCATTGGATACCGCTGACCAAAATCCGTACTGGCATTGTTCATGACGCCTGAATTGAATTCACAAACCAACCAAGGTATAATAAATACAAATTCCTAACCAAGAATAATCAGAGGGAGGGGATTGATGAGCATCCGATCACTCACTTCCATCACCATCCATTCCATCAGAGAACTTGGAACCTGGGTTTTCCTGAGGAATGACGAGATGGAGCAGTGTCAGATCACACCATGGGCCATGCATGTTTCCGCACTATAGTATATATGCCGACTCTGATTGATTTTACTGTAAATCACATACCTCGGACAGCCGAATTGTAGTGCTTGGCGTTGCAAGGAGGTCACCTTCATCCATGTGGGTGGAAGCCGCCCCTCGATCCTCCTGCCCCAAGCTGGAAGGACCCATGGACTGAGGTGTTTGATCTGCGGATCGTTGCGGAACCGTTGATCAACCAGTCATGTGTAGCACTACTAATGGTGAGCTAATTTTGCTTGTTACCTACCTACAACAGCCTCTCTGCGGCGAGCAATCCACACGTCAACTGTGTGTTTCCAGTCTCTGGGATTCACACCAAACATGTCAACATAGAGAACCAGCAAGAAAACAACCCCAAAAGGCTTTCTGAATGAAACAGATGGAAACATACTCGATGAGCGATCTCACGAGATTCCGAATCTGCTTGGAGCTGTGCTTCCGGAAGTTGGCAACTGCTTTGCCAATCGCAGTGACCTATCAAACGAGTGAACATGAACGCTTGTAAGAGACACTAACGAATTAATAAGGTTGGAGCAATTAATCCATCATAAGCGGATTATGGTGGCGGCGGTGGCTCACATCCAAGGTGTCAAACGCGAGGTCCAGCTCCTGCAGCCGCCGGAGTAGCTCCAGCAACTCGGACTCCGACTGCAACAACGTGAGAGCAGAGAAGATTCAGTGCGAGTTACCAGTATGGAACCGGCGGCGATAAAAACGGCGGCGGCAGAACGTTGCAGAGGTGAGGAGGAGGAGGGACCTTTTCTTGGTCGTTGAGGAGGACGGCCTTGATGCGCTCCGTCTCGGCGAGGACAGGATCGTCGCAGCGCGGCGCGCCGTCGTCGGTGATGGCCTCGGCGCGGTCGGAGCTGCAGAGGCTGGGCACGCTAGCGGCGCCCTCGGGGTGGAGCTGCGCCGGCGTGGGCGCCCCGGCCACGGGGGTTCCCCCCGCGGCTCCTCCCTGGCCAGCCGCCGCCGCCGCCGCCCCCGCGGCCGCCGCCGCGGCGCCGGTCACCAGGAGCGCGGTGAAGAGGCGCTCGGCGATGCCGTCGCGGCGCTCCCGGAGGGCGGCCGGGTGGTCGGACGCGGCGACGGTTATGGCCGCGTCGATGGCGTCGAAGATGTTGTCCCCCGCGCCGCGGAAGAAGCCGAGCCAGTAGTCCCTCGACGGCGGCGCCATCGCCGATCAATCGGCCGGCGCGCCCGCCTTGTCAAGACCGCCCGGACGAACGCACGCACGCACTTCTCCCTCCCCTAGTAGCAGATTAAATTTACGTTCTTTTCCAATTCGATTCGATTGATTGGGTTCTTCTTTCTTCGGTTACACGGGTTCAGGAACAGGGTTGAGAAAAAACAAAAGAGATGTGTGGATTGCCACGCCCGGACGCAAGAACTCGCCGGCGGATTCAAGAGGGCACGGGAGAACCCCAAGAAGACGCGACCGGGAAAGGAGAAGGCGGCGGCGAGGGCGAAGAAAAGGGTTTCCTCCTCCCGTCGTCCCTTCTCTGTCCTCTCTGCCTCTCACCTCTCTCCTGGGTTCTTTCCTGGCTCTAGTTCCGGGTGGGTGCGTGACTATCTGATGCTTGTCCTGTCTACCTGTGCCTATCTGCCTATCCCCTCGCGACCTGCCCCCACAAGTGCGAGACGACGACGACGATACGAGAGGGGAGGGAGGGAGAGAGGGAGAGGGAGAGAGAAGGCGGGGTCGGGGACGGGGGTGGTGGTGGTGGGCCGCGTTGCGGTGGCTGTTCGCTGTTGCGATTGCTCGCGGATTCGCGAGCGCAGCGCCGCAATCCGGGTGCGTGGGCGTGCGCGTGCGCGTGCGCTGCCGTGGCCCGTGGGGAGGAGGAGGAAGCGGTAAGCCGCGTGCGCGCGTGTCGCCACCGCGCGCGGGGCTTGTGTTTTGTTTCGGCGCAAGCGCAGCAACACAAGCTGCGCGCGAGATCGCAGTCGCAGCGGGATAATCTACGCACGCGCGCACACATGGGCAGTGTTGCAGGATAGACACGCGCGCGTGGCAGCAGCCACGGCTCACCAAAATTCCAAAGCGAGGTAGGAGGAGTAGGTTCGGGTTCTCTTTGTGTGACCTCTACAAATCCGCTACGATCGCTAGAAACATGCTTATTAAAGTAACTCGGTTTAGGTCTTTTTGGAACATGCTGACGGAGTAAACCAGCAAATAGGTTTACACTAGTGGTGGTGTTATTAGCTCAGATGAGCCCCATTTAGATGCTCCAGCTAATAGTTAGTACTAATATTTAGATAAATATTGCCCGTTAATAACTTTTTATTAGCTAAATAGTTCATTTTAGGCTGTCGGTTAGGTTATTAGCTTGGTACATAGAACCTTTAAAGCTGATTTTAGCAGCTAATCATTACCATCCAAACATGTCTTCGTTGACCTTTTGAAGTAAGAATTAACCATATTGATCTTGTAATAACGAATTTTGTAACTCATATTTCTTCAATCGCTAAAATTAGGTTTTACATGTACTATCAATTCTCCGACAGACTAATAATGTTCGGGGACATGACTTAGTTGGTGCTCATTAATCCCTGATGTTGTTTGTTACGGCATCCGCAATAGCACCAGCTACGTAGACAAATTATGGATGTGAGACAAAAGCAAATATTATTTTATACATTATTGTTTTCTATGCACTATCAGACCTACGTGCTCCTCTCTCGTAATCTTGGAGTACACAAAATAGGTCAAATGTTTACTCGTCGCTAATGACTCTTCTCTCTCTCCTGCAGAGAATTGCAGTACAGTCAGCCCTTATAAAAAAAAACTTGGCATTCTAGCACTATTGTCCTAGAAAATTGTCAGTCTAGCCCGCTAAACATCTAATTGGACATCCACATTAATGCAATGCACAGTATTTGGATCAGTGGATGGCAACTGAGCTGCATGGTACTCCCTCCTTCCTCGAATGGTAAGCGTATTTAGATCATGAAAAAGTCAAACAAATTAAACCTGACCGTTAATTTCTTTTACTATATATTGGTTTTTGCCAAAGAATCAATATCTTCTCGTGGATACTTTGAATATGAATCTATTTATCCAACATTTATAATCAAGGTTGTATATAATTTGAATAATTGTTGGTCTGAGTTTATATAAGCTAACTTTTCCCATACAAAATACGATGATCATTTCGAAATAGATGCTGGAATGGTTCCTTAATTATATGAGCGCGGGCACACACACGTGGTTATTGTTGGTGGTTACCTAATCGACAACCTTGTTTAGGGGAAACGCCTCTAATAAATAGGACCTCGTTTACCAAAAACGCCTCTACTAATTAAATAGGGTACCATGGTCATTTCCCTCTACACTAGTTTGCCTGGAAATTATAGGGATGTCAAGTCTCCTTTGGATCGAGGGAATACTATATTTTATAAATTATAACACGAATTAATGGTCAAAGCTTTGTATTTATTGGTGTAGGTGACATAACAATGATCCAAATCAACGTTTTTTAATGAGCAGGGGAGTGCTAATTTCTAATCAAAATGGTTGAGCATCTCAACTAAAAGCATTCATGCTGCGCACCAGGCCACCAGTTCATTTGTCGTTTCCATCATTTTCTTGGTTATTCGTATGCTCTCCTGTTGAAATATGTTTCTTTTCTTTAAGTCCACAACTTTAGTTCTGCTAGATAGCTTTTCAAAAAAAAAAAGGTTCTGCTAGATTGAACGTGTCCTAGAGCCTAGAGGTGACTAGTTGCATAGTACTGGTAAATACTAGGAGTACTATTAGGAAAGCACTACGAAGAAAGCGAGGCAGGGGCTATGCACGGCCACTAGGTTTCTGTTTTTTTCCTCTTTATTTATTTATGTATGTATATATAAAAAATGGTCGTTTGGTTCTGGAGCTTGTCTTTTTCACGATACTACCCCATGTATATCCATCAATGCAAGACTATTTTGGTTTTGGGGGAAAAATTCTGCAATTTTGTTCCAGTTTCTTGCCAGTAGCTACCAGATCAACATCATCTTAAATTTCACTTTAAGTATGAATCTATGGATCCATTCTTTCCATACCAAAATGCACATATATAGCTTGATTAATGCTTCCTCCGTTCTAACAGGTAAGTTACTATAATGGTTCCGTTCGCTTCGCTGAAAAAACAAGTCGAAACACTGTTCTGACTGATTCGTTGTGAGAGAAAAACACTGTTCCGATTGAAAAAACAAGTTGAAAAGGACGGATTATAAGAGAAACGAACATGGCCAATGAATTTTGTTTGAAGCTGTATGTGCTTGTGTGTTTTTTTCTTCTTTTATAAACCTGATTAACTAAAGATAGAGAAGTTTGACTTACATCAAAGCTGCAACAAAGACTTAGGCCCTGTTTGGTTGAGCTGTGGCTGTGGGAAAAAGCTGCTGTGGGCTGTGAGCTGTGGAAAAGCTGTTGTGGGCTGTGGGCTGTAGAAAAACTGAAAGCTGTTTGGTTAAACAAGTATAAAATATACCTTTTATCTTTATCTCTCTTGAAACAACTATGGAAGAGCTTTTTATTCCACCAATTTCGAAAAGCAGAAAGCCAAAAGCCAAAAGCAGGGTCAACCCAGCTTTCAAAAATGAACTACGGAAAAGCAGCTGCTTCTGAAAAAGCATCCTCCAAAAGCAACCCCTTTGGTTGGGCTTTTGGCTTTTGAGGCCAAAAGCCAAAGCCAAAAGCCCAACCAAACAGGGCCTTAGAACGGTAGTACTATATATTTCAAAGTTGAGGCACTGCCATACATCCAAAAAACTCCAAGCATTCATGAGCTTTTGCGTCCAAAAATTCTTAACCTGAGAAGTTCTGTAGCTAGAGCTCAGGATGTAGTCAAATAGTTGCCTCTTGTATTGTATATCTACAGCAGCGATCTTATGTTTCAAGAAAGAAAGAAAAAAACAGCAGCTATCTTAGCAAAAAGAGGCATTTGCCAGGCAATCCTAGTAGTAGTAACACAAAAGTGGCAACTATTTTTATGTGTGGAGGGATGGAGGCATTGCTGTGCGTGGATTTTCGTTCGACCAATTGACCGGTAGAAAACGGCCGGAGGAAAGTGCACGCGGCTGCGGTGTGGCAGTCCGTACTCGGCTACTCGCTCTCAGTTCTCAGATGCATGGTCCCCAACGCAGAGGGAGAGGGAGGAACCACGAACGGAACGGGGTTCAAGGATGACGACTGTAGTAAGGCATGGTGGGCCCATCTTTCGCTGAACTGACCGGAAAAGCTCTCGCCTGCGGACGCCCGCGGCCTACCGTACCAGCCAAAATGTCCTGGTGACTGGTAGGTTACGACTGAAAATATTATAGTCGATTTGATATAAAAAAATATTATTTATTAACTTAAAAAAAATATAATTTATAAGTCAAATGAACCAGTACAACTCGTTAAAAATTCATGAGGATTCACGTACCGTGGAGTATGTGTGTAACGTGCCATGTCAGCATTATTATAGGCTTTGTTAACTCCTTACCTTTTTTGACTTTGGTTCACCTCTCGGTCGCCATAATTGAATCGAATCGAATCGTGTCTCAGTCGAATCTGCGACGCTGTATTATAGGAGGAAAAGAAGACTACAAATAAACAAAAAAATCTGCCATGCTGACGGACAATTAGTACTCGCTCTGTCCACACAAAAGAAGGTAAATCTCGTTTTTCGAAAGTCAAACGGTTTAAACTTTAACTAATTTTATATAAAAAAATACTAATATTCATAGTACAAAATAAGTACTGTTAGATTAGTTATAGAATATATTTTCATAATAAATTTTATTTGGAGACACAAATGCAAATATTATTTATTATAAATTTGGTCAAACTTGAATGATTTTGATTGACACGGAACTCGTAATTACATTCTTTTCTGGATGGAGGGAGAAGGAGCTAGTAGTACTGCTTCCGCACGGTACGAACAAAAAGAAAAAAAAATTCAGCCGTACTTTTTCGACGAAGGAACAATGTTTTTTCTCCCACAATCAGCCTGTTCTCCTGTTGGTTTCAGCCAGCCAACAGTATTTTCCTCTCACAGTAAACCAGCACCAGTCAGCCCAAACCAGCCCAGAAACCAACCAGCGAACAGGCCGAATAAACCAATGAGTTGTACTTTTTAACTTGTCTTTTCGACGAAGCGAACAGCGCTGGTTATTTTATGATAGTCCCCTTGACGGGCTGACCATCGG